ATTCTTGCTTAGGGACCTGCATTTGCTTTAATTGGAGCTTGGCTAATTTATCAAGTTCAGAACAGAGATGTTATTGCAACTGAGGCTTCTGAAAGCATGTTTCAGAAGGCAATTATTTTTACAGCTCTCAGCTTTGTTCTAAGCAACTTTGGTCCAATTGATGACTGGTGAGCAACCAATTATGCAGGTTACTCAGAAAGAATAGAAGTACCATCACAAACTCATAATCTTTTTCATCGAACGGAATTCAATTACGCTCATCATTAGTAGAAAAATTATTAGGTAATCTGATTTTCTCTGAGGTGATGTTCACCGAGTATGGTGCTTGCAGGTCACATTTTGGAGCAGCTTTTACTGGTATAGTTTATGGGTTTTTCACATGCCCAAGTCTGCAAGTGAAAGATGCATCTTCGGATACTGGTCAAGAAGAAAGAATGACACTTGTTAGACGATATGCTGATCCTTGCAAATCACTTATGTGCTTCTCCTTCTTTCTTTTGCTGTTAAGTTCTTTACTTCTTATTATTGAACCTCCACTCTATCTGCTATAAATATACTGAAGATGAGCAGCATGCTAGGTAACTTTTTTCATTGATACCGAGTAAGGATAACTTTTATAGAATGTTACATGTACATATATACGTGAAAACACGTCTTGACGTCAAATCATTTACACATTCATATCATTTTCAAGTGCATGTATGCCACTTGTCACTGAATCGTGCATGCATGTGCCGATGTGCGCACAATTTATGTATTGACATCTGTTCTACCAAAGACAAAAACCCATGTAATTTGCCTGAAGTTGCGTTGGCAATGGATAAAAAGGCCACTGAAATGGCTAAAAATGGCAAATTGCATTGCCATTTAACTTCATTATCGATAGTCTTGTTTCCAAGTAGATTATAATGGGAGGGCATAGAGAAATAGGACTCTTCTCAAGTGTTTGTTTCTTTGGTTCTCGTGGGTTTTAATTTTTAACAAGGGTTGAATCCAAATAAATAAATTTGATCCTCCAATCCAATACATATTGCTTAGTGCAACCGACAAATAGAGTACAAATAATAATAAATAAAATAAAAAACCATAACAAATAAAATACGTTTGCACGCCACCTCACTGCCTTGTAACCAATCGTATGTTCTTGTAACAAAAACATTTCAAGATTCAATGGTCCGTTGCACTCAACATTCCAAATGCCTCAAATCTTGCGACAACAGAAGTGGTGCTCACAATTCTACAACGCTGCTGATTTGTCACTGCTGTTCCTCACCAGATTCAGGTTTCGAAGCGTCCTTGATCTCGTCCCCAGCATCATCCTGATAGCAAAAGAAATAAACACAAAAATGCAGAATTATAAGT